GTGGAGATTCCCCTTCAGCCCCTGGTGAAGACCATGGTGAGGCAGGCTGTCCCCCTGCAGACCATGGAGGTTAACGGTGGAGCAGATATCCACCTGCAGCCCGTGGAGGACCCCACGCCAGAGCAGGTGGGTGCCCAAAGGAGGCTGTGACCCCGTGGGAAACCCGCACTGGAGCAGGCTCCTGGCAGGACCTGTGACCCCATGGAGAGAGGAGCCCACGCTGGAGCAGGTTTGCTGGCAGGACTTGTGACCCCGTGGGGGACCCACGCTGGAGCAGTTCGTGAAGAACTGCAGCCTGTAGGAAGGACTCACGTTGGAGAAGTTTGTGGAGGACTGCCTCCCATGGGAGGGACACCATGCTAGAGCAGGGGAAGAGTACGAGTCCTCCTCCCCCCTGAGGAGGAAGGAGCGGCAGAGACAACGTGTGATGAACTGACCCCAACTCCCATTCCCATCCCCCTGCACTGCTCGGGGGGAGGAGGTAGAGAAAATCAGGAGTAAAGTTAAGCCCGGGAGAAGGGAGGGGTGGGGGGAAGGTGTTTCAAGATTTAGTTTTTATTTTCTCATTATCCTACTCTGATTTGATTGGTAATAAATTAATTTTCCCCAATTCGAGTCTGTTTTGCCCCTGACAGTAACTGGTGAGTGATCTCCCTGTTCTTATCTCGACCCACGAGCCTTTTGTTATATTTCCTCTCCCCTGTCCAGCTGAGGGGAGTGACAGAGCGGCTTGGTGGGCACCTGGCGTCCAGCCAGGGTCAACCCACCACAAAGTCTGAATCTCACAGTGAAGCTTCACATCATGCCGTACTCCTGGTTGAAGCAAGCAGCGTGTCGCTTTAGCTCCCTCATTTACATCATCACGCATTCTTTAAGTCCCCACTTCTTGAAGAAGTTATGGTATTCAAAGCAATACCATGAAGATTTTCCCCTTCCAAATTTGAACACCGTCTCTGTTCTGGCAACTCAGGGAGTCTGTTTTATCCATCACACCAGATACAGTCATTGTAATAGTTCCTGCCCTGTATGCCACAGCCATTGCTACAGTGCAGTGGAAATCAATAGCATTTTTTCTGTACATCAGGGATTTCCCATCAATATTTACGTATAACAATTAAATGAGCACGGGTTCCACTCATCCGAATAAGCCCGGGAGCTTTACCCGTGTTGGCGCCTCTGGGAATATCAAACTGCGCGGCACTATGACCCGATTCATTTTTCGAAGGTTTCCACCCTCCTTTCTGAAGCAGCTCTCCCCTCAGTTACGCTCTGAAGCTAGGGCCGTTCCTTTCAAGCCTTCTACTTCCCCCTCCAGCTCCCGAATGAAATACTCTGTTCCAACGACCTTCCCACCCAAGCAAGCATTGAAGACATCAGGCTTGCTTTACGGAGACAGAAGAAAACTGCGAAACATTACTTCTTGCTCAGATGATTCATATATTTGTCCTGTCCAAGGGAACCTGAAATACCCCACCATTTACCTGCGCTGTATCAACTGTTACATAGAGGACAATACCTTAAATACATTAAGGTATAATGCAATAATAATTGTAGGTTTTAGCTTAACAAATTTCCATCAATTAATGCCTGTGCCGATATTGCACAATATCTGAATTTATTCCAGTTCAGCAGCTGATTCAAGTACGTTAGCGCTATTCTGGATGGAGCAGTTGATGGAGAGGTCTGACGAGATGTCATTTGTTCTGAACAGAAGGCCTGCATTCAGTATAATTCAAAACCTGTATTCAGTTCCTGTATTAAATACACATACTGCCTAAATTCAATACCTATATTACCTATGCTCAATAACTAATGACTAGCTGCTAATCAAGCTCCAAATGGTTAGTCATGACAATTAGTGTATAAATTATCAACACAAAAAAAAGTCTCTTCCACGTTTTTTAATGCTTTCCCTTTTTTTTTTTTTTTTAAATTGCTTTTTCTGCTTACAATTTTCCTAGCTACAGTGGGCATGGAGATGGATTATGAATCCCTTTCATCCTATTTACAGCAGCAACAGCATTTCACATTCTGGCCTGGCCTGCTGCCAGATACAAGCAATGCATTTACTCCAGTTGCAAGCAATAAAATTATTCTGTCTTTGTTATTCCGCATTTCCCTGGATGTTTTTGAAGGACATCAATGATTCTCTGCCAGCGTTGCTGTGATGAATTATATGCTTTAGCTGTTTAGCACAAGGGTGAGCTATACAAAGCCGCAGGAGGATGAATTTAAAAAATGATCCACATGAGGTTTTGTTGGTTTTGTAAAACCAATTTCATAATAGTAATGCAAATATAGCAAAAATATTACGTTCAATTAGGGAGACAATCAAAATTACAAAAATCACGGTCTGGTGGTTGGTTCTTTTGCATGCTTCATGCCTGTTTTCTGGGATTTTAGGAGCAAAAAATTAAAAGCTCCATTCAGCTTGGGAGACTCCATGTCAGGTCTATGCCTCCCAGGTGCTTTTGTGCTCTTGAAATACCCATTCCCGTCCCCTCTTCTTTTGCAGGAGTTTATGCTGACATGTTTATGACTGCATTCTAGCCTACTCATTAAATTACATTTTCAAGAAATTTAATTAAGGATATTCAGAGTTCTTGCGCACAATGTCAGTTTTGAGAATCTCTCGATTAAGACTTTCATAATCATGAATTAATTTTTTTCTTTTTCCATTGAAATGCATACAATTATTCCTCCTAAAATTTATATTCTGGGGGGATGGCAATCTTTTAATTGCAAGTGCATTAAAACTGTATTTTCTCACATATTTCCTTATATTTTATTGTGAAGGTGGTGAGGTTTTTTTGCCTGAAAACATTACCTTGGTGAACAAAACTGGTACCTTGTCCCGTTTCCTCCATTTTTTAAATTTTGATTTAGTGGTCAATGAGCGTTAACTTTGAACATTCGGAACTGCAGAGAGACGGTTCTGCCGAGTGCAAATCTGTCTCTCTCTCCTGAATGTCCCATTTATGCCTTCCCGCGCAGGCAGGTTATAACTACTTTCATATGAAATGTGCCGTTTTATTCTACTCCACCCAAATTCTTACGTCACTTTCATCACTGTGCTATCAATAACATATTCCATCAGTAAGCAAGGTAAGCAAGATCTGCTATTTGTTTCTTTTTCCCTTCCTCTCTCCGGAAAGAAGTTTGCTTGACTATATTGGTTATTAAAGGTTAGCATTAGGAAAAAAAAAAAATAGCAGTAACTTGGAGTAATAAAAGCCGAGGTTTAGAAACCCTCTTACTTCTTTGTGGAATAAAACACAACAGCCTTGTTAAATTGGGCCAGCCTTTGAACTCAGGCTTACTTGCTAGCTTTACGCAGCAGTTTTATCCATTTGCCTGTATAATCCGTTTTGCTTTAAGTTCTGGGGTATTTTATGATTAGATACCGTTCCTCTTTTTCTTTCCCCCTGGTTTAGGGGAACTTTGCTTTTCAATCACATCACACACGGACAGTGCGCACCTGCAGACATGCATACACGTACATACGGATATATGCATAAAACCTGCCACGTATTGGTTATTCATCTCACTTCCCACCCCACTTCAGTATTAAAGCAAAGAGTATTTTTAATCCCTTTTGCTGTCTTCCCTGACCAGTCACTACTCCCAGACGTCGCTCTGACCCAAAGCCTCATTTCCAAACCCCGGATGACGGTACGCGCCCGAGGTTTCCCTCGGCCCCCCCTCCTTGGGGAGGCTGGGGGGGGGACGGGGGACGGCACGGCGCATCACCACGCGGTGGGTGCTAGCTCGAGGACGGACCGCTGCCCTCAT